CACAACGTTTGATTGCCTACTCGAATCGTTCAAATATGAACTTCAGACTATGAAAAATGAATTCCTGATACATTTTAACCTACATGAGATTATAAAAGAATATTTGGAGTAAAAATTGCCATAGAAACCAAAGCTGACCTGGCCGTTTAGAGGCTATGCTCAATTAAGTTGGTGTATCTGAGCTACGAAAGTGATTTGAAAAAAGATAATGCTTGAATTTTATCAGCTCGACTTGGTGAATGTACTCATGGGAAAATATCTGCTGTGTCCTTTCTAAAACGACTTGAAGCTTTTGGCTTTGGAAACTTGCGGGTTTTCTGACCATTGAAATAGACTTCGTGGTTTCGACGTATTGAACATGTGCTATACTCTCAAAAAATACGTTTTCGGATCCAGTTTTTCGCGTAGATTAACAAAAAAAGTATTTTTAAAGTTATAGCACATGTTTAAAAAGAATTCTAGGACGCTTTTTCAAAAAAATATATTTTCTTCGTTTCTACGATTTTTATAGTTTTTGACCACAAAAACTCAACTTTTTCTAAGCAAATTATACATATTCGGATTCAGCGCAAAAATTTGCATCGAATGATGTATAGGAAAATAAAAAATAAAAAATATGGAAGTTTTGAATTTCCTTAACCTTAGAACGAAAAAAATGAAAAACGTCATTTTTAGACGTTCAGAAGCATTTTTATGCAGACTAATGTAATATTCGGAATCTACGAAAGCACACTGATAGATAATTCGATGTGTTTCGAAAAAAAAGTTTTCGTCGAAAATTTTAAGCAAAACACCTGAGGGAGAAATCAGACAAAAATTTCGAGGAAAAACTTTTTATCTGCTTTCAACGGCAAACGTAGGTGAACACCGTTTCAAGACATGCCTAATTTGGATATCGTAATTTTCCGACTTGAATCGTTGCGGCGAAAAAGTACGGAGTTTTCATATGAATGCGTGAAATCGTGAATGCAGAGAGAAGTCCCAGGCCTATACAAACATTCTTCCTTGATGCAGCTTCTATCATGTTGCTGCTCTGTTTTTAGACTGAAAATATATGCAGCATATTTATTAATAAAACCTCAAATCTTTTAATTAAGGAGAACAGCTGTCTACACTAGAGTAATTCATTTACTTTTTTTTCAATAAGTAATAATTTTGTCTGTAGCTGATAAAATTCAAGCATTATCTTTTTTCAAATCACTTTCGTAGCTCAGATACACCAACTTAATTGATCATATCCNCCGTTGTTATTGTCATGTGTTTGATATTTAGTGTAACTAACACTATGTCCGATAATTTTTCCACTTTGTGTATCAGTTGTATTCACTTCCTTATAAAGAAGTTTTTCAGTATTTTTCGTAACCTCTTTAACACATGTCGTTGTTCGATAACGACCGGATGTTGTCGTGTTACATTTCGGTTCAATTTGATCTAAATCTCCAGCGGTATCTTGTGAATCACCATTTAGTTGTGTCGGTTGTTGAAACACGCTTTCAAATTGTTTTTGCATTTGAGCAAAAATATTTTGAAAGTAATCGCTGAACGCTGACGG